CCTCCCCCCGGACTCCCTTATCGCATCCTTCCTCCTCACCTCCTTACACGCCAAAATCGACAGCATAAAGTTGATCAACAACATCATGACCGTAATTACTAGCAGAGCAACCCCCAAGCAATACAACTTCCCCTTTCGCCCTTTCAGTTTGCGTCCAGCCGTGTGGTACTTGGTCGCCAGCGCTTCGACGATAGGCGGCACGGCGACGGCGTCGGGTTCAAGGTTAAGATCGCGATCGTTTTCTTCGTCGGCCGAGGTCACCCAGATGCCGACGTAACCCATGGTGGCGATGCAAGCGAGGCAGATGCAGATGTGCACGCCTACGTAGGCGCCCGGGTAGAAGCTGCGGAAGCGGTCGCGGAGGCAGCAGAGGGTGGTGAGGTCGATGAAGTGCCAGATTAGGGTTGCGAATGCCTGTGGTGGAGGGGTTAGTATGATGACCGAGAAGAAGAGAAGGGGGTGGGATATAAAGTGATGATAGGGTGGGAACATGAAGTGATGATGATGGTAGGAGTTGGAAGGTCGGAAGAGGACAGAGGTGGAAGATCAGGGTTGGGGTTATGGAGGCGATGAGACGAACTGGTGGGTGTTGATCAACCAGCAGGGCCAAACTGTTGCGCCGTCACCACCGCCATGGTCATGAAAGGCCAAGACCCTTGACGACGAAGTGATGCGGAAAAGTAAAGAAAAGACGAGAAATGATAATGATAACTTTTAGAAAAAAAAAAAAAAAAAAAAAAAAAAGTACGTACCGTAATGCCCACAAACACAAAACTAACGTGCGCAAACCCTTGATCCCCATACTTGCCCACCATATAACCGACGACTCCAAGGATGGCTACCGCCAGTATCATTGACAGCACGCCCAATATCGACCGTGCCGTGAATAACTTTGCTTTGAGTGATGATAACGACGATGACGACCTTTGCCTTTGTTTACTTCCATTCGTTGTTGGTGTTGTTGTCGTTGTGTGTGACTGGCTGTGGTACTGTTGCTCAAACCCTTCCTCCACATCCCTACTCCCAGCCCTATCTTGTGATATCCTCTTTTCCATTTTCCCAACTGTCGATGGATGCCCGTTTGATGTGTTGATGTCAAAGTGGTCAAAGTGCCGGGTTGATAAATGCGTGCGTGTGATTGGTCAAAAATGTCCGAGATGAAAGTGGACCCCGAAGCGGTGCCGAACCGGATGAGGTTAAGGAGGTCGAGACGGTGCGGCGACGACGGCGGCCCCGGGCAGTGCCAGGTCCAGGTCCCGTCCGACGTCTGACGTCAATGTCGACACGGGCAACCGACCCCGACTTTGGACGGTGTGCTGCGGGGAACTGGAGGTGGTGTGGTGCTAGTCCGACTTTTTGTTGTCCGATTTTCCTATGCTCAAATGCGCCGTTCCCTTGTGAGAAACGCCAAATCGGACGTGGGTGACAGACTCCTCCAAATTATAGTTGAGATTAACCCGGGTCCCCGCCTCTTTCCTGTTTTGCTCCGATTTCCTTGTCGGTAGCGGTGTGTTTCCCTTGCCCGCCTATGCCCAAGTCCCCAATAACCCAATGCAGAAATGCAGTATGCGCAATGCTCGAAGTTGATTGTCGTTATGTCGTTAATGTGTGATGTTGCCTTGTTGTTATGTCGATGTTGTATTCAAGGAATCTGTGTTGCAAGATGGGTGGGATACAAAAGGGGGGAGATCAACAACTCTGGGAATCCGGAAAGCGACTCTGATGGACCCCATAAAATGTCAGACAGAACTTGAAGCGACACGGAAAAGAAAGTTGAGAAAGAAGCAGGCGCCGGGCAGTCCGCCTTTTTGAACCAGGTGCCCGATATTTGTTGCCAATGCTGCCACCGACCTTTTCCGTTTGCCATGGATTGCCATGGCTTGCCATGCCCAAAGCCCAAGACCGCCCAAGACCGTCCCAAGAAACGGGCGGAAAACAAACAACGAAGGACAAGGAAATAACGAAAAAAGCAAACGACGGGACTGACACTTACTGGAACAAGCCCAGGCGGGCAACGATCGAGCTAACAATGCGTGCCGCAACCTAACACGCCTGACTGGACAGCCCAGGCTAAGTCGCAGAGTATCAGATACAGCTGCCCAGAAAACGCCCAGAGGATCAAGTGGGTGCTCTCTGTTCACGCAGAACACGCGGCGTTCATCTGGAGAACAAACCGCAGCGATGGAAACATGGAAAAGTCCCCCGCTTCAACGAGGTCAGAGGACAGAGCGAGGGCTCCATCTGTCTGGGTGTTTTTTTTTTCTTTTCTTATTTTTTCACCTTTCACTTCCACCCAAGTTGCTTGGCTTTTTGAAGTGGAAATGACGACGGGCCCCCTCTGTTTCGCTCTGTTCCTTCCCCCTTTGGCAGATCGCCGGAGCTGCTTGGCTCACCCTTGATGCATCCTTGGCGGTGATCTTGGCGGACTGCCAACCATCAATCGAGCCTCCTTGGCGGTAAAGGGTTGCTTTCTTGGCCACAGCCTGCGTGTGTGCTGGGCGTTATGTATCATGCTGGGCAGATGATGTTCGCCCTCTTGTTTCTCCGGCTTGGGGTTTGGGGGCTGTGATTCGTTTACACAAGAGATGAGAGATGCCGATGCCGATACGGATGCTGTGCCTTTCAGGCAAGTATGTAAGATCGATGGGTGCTGTGACGTTGACAGTTGTATCGATATCCATGAGTCAAAGTCAGAGTGCCATCCGATGTCAACTCCAAAAATTCGATAAGAAAACTATCGTGAAAAAAGGATAAACAAATGACAGTCCACTGCTTGCTTGCTTGCTGATTGCTTCGCCAAGCCCACTTCTTGCTTGCGTCGTGGATTTTGTCGGGTTTTAGGTAACACATGGCAAACCCAAGGCCTTGGCTTTCGGTGCTGGCAAATGTCTCGGAATGAAAACGACGATGCCAAGATAAAGGAAATGTCATCTTCCCGATTGACGGCATGTCACGGCATGACAGCACATGATGTTGAGCATAGCTCCGCTTGCGTAGTAGAGGCATCCAAGTCCCAAGTCCAAATTCCCCACTTCAAGCATTTATTTTGGTATTTCTCCCAAGGCCTCAACACTTGGCAATGCGTCAAACTTTCCGTATGTACTCTTCCCTTTCTATACGCTTCATTCAAAGACTGTCAAGAAACTCCTGTTGACAACTTGGATGGCTCAAAAGAGCGCTTTTCAGTGAATTTCTGCATTTTGGGTCCAGAGTACGTTTGGCCGAAAGACATGTCTTGAGAAGAACAGACGAGGTCTGTGTTAACTCCCGCAAAAGGAAATTGTGGGCCAAATCTTTAGTTTAGTTTCGGTTTGAAAACCCCGAGTTTACGGACTGGGCGGCTGTGGGCGGCTCTGGGCGCCCGGAAGCACGGCAGCTAAGGAACGCTAAAAACAGGTAAAAATAGGGGTAGTAAACATACCTACCCTCGCTGCTGCCAAAGTCGGACTGTAAACTTCATGATGTTGCCGGCAAAGGCGGAAAAGAGAGACAGATATATACTGGCCTCGCTACCTATCCAGGGCAATTCCACGAGATCCCTCACACCGCTCACCCAAAGGCTGCTGGGTATGGGTTCCTAGCTAGTCTTGCTGCCCTGCTTCACCTCCAAGCTCACCACATTCTCACCATCCGTAGCTCCCGCCGTTGTCCCCTTCCAACATAGGGGCCAGTCCGCAAACACCACCTTCTCCTTGACCGAAGGTGTGGGTTGATTGTCCGGCTATCAAAGTGGTCCAGTCGGACGGAAGGGAAGTGGAAAGGAAGTGAGGGCGGTCGTCGCCGGCATCAGATGCCCGATCCGCTCTATGCCATGTCCTTCCTGAGACACCAGGCTCCGGTCGCCGTTGATCTTTTGTCGAGACGCGCGTTTTGGATATTGTAACCGGACGTTTCAATACCACGCTCACTCGTTGTGTAACAGAACTGCTACCGACTGGCAGGGTTGATGGATGCGATGGAACTTGAAAGGAACTTTGAACTGAAATGCGACATGGACAAGTGTGAAATGGGATTGCATCCCAATGAAAGCTGGGCCTGGGCGGAGGATATTCTGCTAACAGATTTTTGGCAAACGTTAACTAACTTTTGATAAGCCCCTAATATCAGCCAAACTAAGCTTTCTACTTGACGCACTGACCGCCCGTTTACCTATGGTTGGTTGCAATTGCAATGCCTCCGGCAGTTGCAATGCGGGCAGTGATGCAAGCGAGGGGACCTGAGTGCTTCGGGCAGGTCACAGCGGCAGGCAATAGTTGACGCCCACTGAAAATGCGGAGTTGCAGTCCGGGCTTTGCATTCGTTTTTGTTGATTTGACATTCGCCCGCCCGCTTTTGCATCCGGCAGCCGATGACACTGGCGACGGCTGATACAACTGAAACCACGATAGGCTGTACGGTAGAAGCAGCATAGTCATCCATCTCATCATCTTTACGATTGATGATTGCTTACTTGCTTGCCACCCGACCATCCCGCCGCCGTCATTCATCAACCACCCCTCCCTCCCCCCCCGACTTAGCTCTCTCGTCTCTAGGTCTATCTAGTGCGTAATCAAATCGTCTTTGTCATCGAACGAGAAGCCCTCAAACCGCATCCAACCCATTCGTTTCCCTTCCATCGACTCCGGCTTTTCATTCTTCAACCTTTAACAACAACAACAACAACACCACCACTTCTATCCTCGACCCATATTATAATAATCATCATCATCACATTCTCCCGCAGAGCATCGTCACTTCGAATCCACAAGCTGCTGCTGAGTCCAGCATTTACGAGCGATTTCCCCGACGTCTCATCTTGTCACCGCCCAGACCAGCATCGCTGCCGAGTTTACCTCGTTATCTTATCGCTTCATTACGCAATCTCCAGTCCAGTCCATCTTCGAAATACCATACAATTACCCAGATAATCACAATCACCCACGCCAATCACTTACTTTGTCACCCATACCAGTACCAGGAATCGCGTTGATTTCTGATACTCTCGACAACACGGATCCACAATGCGACGACCGTCGGATAGCTTGACCGAACCCGCTCGGAACCTTGAAGAATCAGTCGGATCCCCATCGCCAACTACCCCCGATCCCACCACCGATCTTTCTCTCCCGCCCCCTGAAGAGCAGATAGTAAGCCAACAGGCCGACGTCAACGTTGATCCCGCTACTGTCACACCACCCCCGCACATTGCCGCCCGCCTCTTCATCCGGCCCACCAATCAGACCCGCCGCAAAGACAGTGCAGCTTCGTCGCGGCGCAACAGCTTCTCGTCCGCCCATTCCCGCTCTTCTCACGGCTGCGGTCGCGACGTTGGTCCCCAGAGCAAGTATGTCGCCCAACACTTGCGCCGCGCCTCCATCCTCGAAGACCGAAAGGCCCGCCTGGCCGACCGTGCCGCCCATGCCGAGAAAGTCCGCATCCGAGCCGCCAAGGCCAAGGCCACCGTCAAGGATATCACACAAAGCGAAGAGAGAGCCATTGCGGCTGCCATGGCTCGCGAACGCAACCTAGCCGAGATCGCCGCCGCCTGTGCCGAGGAGGTCAAGCGGGCCAAGCAGATTGCCGAGACTATGAAGGAGAAGCGCGAGCAGGAGAACAAGAAACTCAAGATGCAGATGGAAGAACGTCTGGCCGAAGCCGAGAGGAGAAGGGAAGAACTCCGTAACCGCAACGCTGCCAAGGTCAAGTGCAGGGAGCGCGGTCAGAGCCTTGTCACAAGGAAACCCACCTTGGTCGAGGTCATGCCCGAGGTCAAAGAAGTCAAGGAGCGCGAGTCGAGCCCCATGAGGCCCGAGGCCGCCGCCAGTAGAATTCAGTGGTGGTGGAAGTCCATGAGTCGCAAACGGGCCGTAGCCGAGTTCAGCGCGCTAGGCCTCACCATCGACGTTGTTAGAGAGACGTCCTTTGATACCGTTACCAGCTTGCTGTCGCAGGAGAACGTCTTGGTGGCCACCTCTCGAGTGCTCCGCATCTGTGGGCTCAACGAGGGTGCGCCTGGGTCAGTGGAAGAGATGACGGCTGTCCGCTCGTTTCTGAGCGCCTTCCTTATCCTCGGCCACCCGTCCCAAGTGCTTAGCAATAAGGAGGGTACCGGAGAACCAGAGCAGGTTGGGTCCGCCCTGGCGAAACCAATCCCTCGTGATGATCTGGCTAACCCTCAGTTGCAGGAACTCGTTGGCAAGGCTGGTGACCTACTAATCTCTTTTGAGAACATTCTAGGCCGACTGACCGCGTTTAATAACTACACTCCGCCACCGGCCCTGTTGGAGTCGTTCCCCGAGGTCTACGCTACCTTTTACAATGCTTTCATTGCCTGGAAGGCCCGTGATTCCAGCTCTCTGGTTGAGCTCATGGTGATGCAGTTCGTCGAGCTGGACGCTATTTGGGAGTCCGTCAAGGACAGCACAGATGGGTCCGTTGACCAGGTGTACAGAGAAAGCATTCGAGAAAACCAGCTGCTACTATTGGTTCGCATCAAGAAACTTGCCGGACCCGTCCGTGGCAAGCAGCTGGTAACTGAAGCTGTCAGGGCAGCCCGCAAGGCTAGAGTCAAGAAGCCTCGCGGTGATTTGAAGCCCCGTGTGGCAGAGCAGTCAGAATCGGAGACAGGCATGGGCGTCCTTGGTGACGGCAGCAACCAGGGTCAACAGACCCAGACTCCCACGCCCCCCTCCACTCCGGCCAGACAGGGCGAGACCTTCAAGATCAGCGTCGTGCTGCCACACACCAAGAGCCTCTTGCCGGAAAACAGGGTGGTTGTGCATGAGCTGGCCATCAATAGGGACTTCCGTACCGAGCCCAGCGAATACCACGAGCAACAAGCCCATCTGCTCGCACCCCTCTTCCAAGAGATGCGGGCAACGATGCAGGCGGACAATCAAGAAGTACACTTTATGCTTCTGCTGCGGGTTGCCGATATGATCCGCGAGAAGCTCCAGCGGCTTGTCAGACCTGGAAACCCCATGCACACGCTGATCGGCGAGCTTCTTGATACGGAAATGGCCCAGCGTCAGTTTGCTATGGGCAGCTTCTCCTACGAGAAACTGTTCCAAGCCATGGGAACACTCCTGCCCAAGCTCTGTGCGCCTGTCCGCGACGACGAAGTCAAGATTCTTGCCGAAGAAAAGCTCGTCCAAGGCACGTATGTTGACCGTCTCGAGGCATTAAATGCCTTCATCGATGTCATGCTTAGTGACTATGCCAACTACCTACTTCAACAAGCCGCGCCCCAACTGATCGAGCAAGCGCCCTCGTACGAAGCCAAAGCCTTTGCCGCCGATATCGAAGCCGGACGCTACGATCTTTCGGCTGCCAAAGCCGCCTGGCGCGCCGCACGTGTGAAGCTGATGGGCGAAGCTAGCCGCCGCGATCCCGAAGGTGTTGACATTCCTCGTTCTCGCCCCACTGCCAACAAGATCTACAACCAAATGCTCGTGGACCTCTTCACCCAGCCGCATCCACTCAGCATTGACGAGATGCCCGCAATGCTGCGGCTCGATCACAAGCGTGTCGTCGAAGCGGGCCGCGTTACCAAGAGGATCATCACCACAGGTGCTATCCTCCTCCAATGCAAAAACCTGCTCAAGCGCGACGTCCGCGGGCCCTGGCGAACGGAATCCCAGCGCATTTTGGCTGTACTCGAGCGGAGCGAATCATCCTCGGACCCCGTCCCTACCGATCAAACAGTTGACGGGATCCTCACCGCTCTCGAAGCCGGCCGCTCCATGCCCGCTGCTACCAAGGTTCACCTACGTGCCTTTGTCACCAAGCTCGTCCTCTCGGCCGCTTCCATCACGGCCGAAAACCGTGAACCTAGCGATCCCGTCCTTCGTCTGCTGCTGAGCAGGTTGAGGGCCTATGTCTTGCAAAGACTGGCGGCTAGCGCGTCGGCTTCGGAAAATGTCAAGGCTACTAGTACCGCTGGAGAGAAGCTGGCGGGTTTGGGTCTAGCAGAGTTTGTGGATAAGGTGAGGGATTTGGTGGAGATGCTTGGGAGGGTCGGGGAGGTGGATAGAGGGGCGCATGGAGTGTGGTGGGATCAGGTTGCGGAGACTGGAGGGTGAGGCTCAGTAAGGGGAAAGTGGATGGGGGGGCATTTGCGCAACGAAGAGAGTTGATTGGAAGAGGGAAGGGGGGGAGTGATTGCATATATACCATGGCGTTTTTGGTCTTTTGTTTGGGTATCGTTGTCTGTGCCATGGCATGGCACCAGCGATGAGTTTTTCTGGTTTCCATCTGTTTTAGGCGTTGAGGATTTGCAAATGAGCTATAAGGCTCTCGCAAGGGAATAGGCTTCCATGGCATGGGATCGGATATTGTCAGTTTGTGATGGTTTCTGTTTTCGTCGGGATGATTCAAAGCATTCACAGTCCATGATCATTTGACAGGATCATGAATAGCATCTACTACCAGTATATCTGTGTCTCGTTCACGTTACTTAGCGTCGCTGATGTGACAGCGAATGCAAAAAAAGAATGATTATCATTTTCCCCCTTTTGCTCGTTGTTTTCTCAAGTTTCATCTATAAAGCCTTACCTATCTCTCAACTGCTCTCCTCTGCTCCCGTTACATTGATGACATGGCGGATTTACACGAAGTTTGGGGTAGTGCAGTTGAAGAGATGCGATAGGCCGAGAGTCCGAACAGATATGCAGTGTAGGGGGCATGTGCATGCACTACACTAGACTATGGTGCACCCTAGACTACCTAAGTATCTACTACGCTACTAGTGTAGTGTCGACCAAACGCTAATGAACCCGAGTTGGTTTACGGCATTGTAGGTAAGGTCAGGTAAGGTAAGCTACCACGCTACCTTAGTGTAGTGTAGTGTAGTCTAGTGTAGGTAAGGTATGTAGGATTGACGACGTCTTCTCTCCTAACCTTCCTAGGTAAGCTCAAACTAAGGTATGTTTCACCTGGGGGGAACGTGACGAATGTAAACACGTGCAGCCAGCAAGGCCGGCGGTTATGCCGGTACCGGCTTGGGTAGGTAATATGTACTACTATCATGTCCCAACTCAGCGAAGGTTCCGGCTGGCCCGAGAGACATATGATGGAACTGGTAAACCCGAGCGAGGTATCCAGCATGTTACCTAGGTCAGTTTATGCTAGTTGACATGGAAAGACTCGGAAGCTGATATGATTGGAACGAATTAGCTAGGTAGGTAGTTTGGAACAAGGAAGAACAAAAAGAAGAAGAAGAAGAAGAAGAAGAAGAAGAAGAAGAAAGAAAAAAAGGAGAAGGAAGCACGTGGAGGGGGCCGGGCGGGCGGGCGGGTGGGTAGGTGGTGGTGGCGCGGGCGGGAGGGGGCCGGTGTGAGGGTGAGACCGTGAGGGTGTCATGCAAAGTAGATCGAGAGCCTGACAGACAGACAGACAGACAGACAGACGGCTATGTACGTCTAGATATCAATCGGCATGAACTATAGGTGCCCGGTATGTACTGCGGTTGCAGAATTGGCAGGCACCTATGTACGTCCTACATACGCTAGGTAGGTAGACTACCTACACTACTACACTACGTGTACAGGTAGGTCGCCGCAGCCTGTTCGCCGATAGGACCTGGGGCCTGGGATCGGGTTGCAATCACAGTGAGAAGGTAACTGCACTACTAGGTACAGCGTGTCCCGCCATTTCCCAGGCAGGCATGTTACAACGTCTGCCTGCTGAGGACCTGATTGAAGAGATCCATACCTACCTACCTATGTAGGTAGCTTGGGTGTCAATCACGGCATCGAGTGTGTGAGTGTACGTGCGTGCGTCTGGTGCGACTAGGTGATTTCATGTCTCATGTGCGAGTGATTCCCCTTTCAAAATGTTATTTTGGGAGAAAGAAGGTGGTTGAGAGAGAAAGGAGAGATGGATGGATGGATGGATGTGGTGTTGCTTTTTAGGTACTGGTACAGGTATAGGTACAGGTACAGGTACCTAAAGTCTAGAGGTAGGTACCTTGTAGGTAGGTACATAAGCTTTTGTGGGGAATCTTCATGCGGATGGATCGGTAGTTAGTGATCGACGGGCGACGACGGGGCCGTCCGAGGGTTGTTTACTACACCGCACGCATGGGCCCCTTCCATGGGTTTCATCACACTCACACACACACACACCTCACCTTTTGAAGAATGTGATATCAGCACGCTAAACTGGGAAGAGGTTGCGAATGCCGATTCGGAGCTAGATGGCTGACGACGGGTTCATGTTCGTGGAAGGCACATAGGCGGCGGGAGGTGGAGGCGGAGGTGGAGGTGGAGGTGAGTGGTGAGTGTGTGATGATGCATCGCCGATGTTGATTCTACCTAACCTTACCTTACCTACCAGGTGGGGATCAAGGATCGCAGGAATACGGCATTGTTGTTGCTATAAAGATGGCATGGAAGAACTTAGGTTGTCTGTCGTATACTTACCTCTACACCTCCAGGATAGCAAGCAATCGATTTTCGTGAGCTTTTAGGCTTTTGACTACATACATTACCTGCAGGTACCTAGAGGAGGTAAGGCAAAACATATCTTTGATCCTCCGATCCTCAACAGCCACAACGAGCATCATGCCTTCTCACTCCGAGCATTCTTCCTCTGACTCCTTGGACCTGCCCTCAGAGTCACCGGCATTCTACCAGAACCCATCCGCCTCTTTAGGGTCATCGTCAACAGTCGAGCCCCCTTCATCGCCTACTATGACGTCCTCCTCCTCCTCCTCCTCTTCTTCGCCCATGGGCTCATCCCCCTTCCTGGCTCCCTCCTCCCCCATCGAGCCACCCGACCTGCTGGAGCTCCCCACTCCAACTTCCTCTGGCACCATCCACCAAAGTCAACCCCAAGAACGAATCCTCATCCTCGGCGCAACCGGTAACCAAGGCCGCGGCACTGTCCACGCCCTCCTCTCCTCCTCCAAACTGCACCTCGCCAACTTCCACCTCGCCGCCCTCGTCCGCAACCCCACCTCGGCCGCCTCCCTCTCCCTCACCTCCTCCTCATCACAATCCGGCGCTGGAATTCCTCCAATCCCCCTCTTTATAGCCGACTACTCCTCCCCCGCCACTCTCTCTGCCGCATTTGCCGCATTCCTCCCCACCACGGTCTTCTTCCCGCCCATCCTCTCCGACGACTTTGCTCTCGACTTGACTTATGCGCAAAACGTCATCTCCGCCGCTCGGCAGTGCGGCTCCGTCCGTTCCTTCATCGTTAGCACCGCCTTGGGAACCGATCGCCGCTCCGAGTTCAAAGGGTGGGGCAAGAACGGCGAGTGGTATCCCATGGGTAGCTACTGGCGGGCCAAAGGCGAGATTGAGAAGCGAGTAAAAGAAGCCGGGTTCGCGAGCTGGACGATCATTAGGCCGGGTTGGTTCTTGCATTGTTTGGTGCCGCAGAGGATGTGCGGGTGGAGTTATCTGGGGTTTAGGGAGACGGATGAGGTCAAGACCATCAGGACAAGTTGGAGGAAGGGGACAAAGGTGGCGTGGGTGGATGCAGAGGATGTGGGGGTTGTGGTGAGGGCTGTTGTGGAAGATTTATGCGAGGGGGGTGGGAAGAAGTATCGGAATAGGGGGGTGGATTTGGCGGTGGAGGCTGTGGCGGTGGGGGAACTGGCGAGGAAGATGGCGAGGGTGTTGGGGGAGGATGTCAAAGTGTTGTATGCGGAAGAGCAGCAGGTGGGTGGGGAGGCGATGACGGCGGTTGACACGTATCCGATTGCCATCAGTCAGAGGTGGGCGAATGAGTTTGATACAACGTATGGTGTTGATGCGGCGAGGGAGTTGGGGCTGTTAGGGAAGTTGACGACGATGGATGAGTTTTTGGACAGAAACAAGGGGTTGCTTTGATGCATGTGGGAAACATTGGGAGGGAGGGTGGACCAGATATCTTGTTGCATATTCGCCACTACCTATAGACCCTCATTAACGGAAACCTCGACGGTACCGGCCTCGTCCGAGACAAAATAGATGAGGCCAGCCAACAGATTAAGTAAACCAGTCCGCTACCGCTCGTTAAGATCATAAAAGGCCCTTGCAAGACTGTGATAGGGATTACAACAATTCGAAAAGACGTCGGCTAGAGTCTTATTTGGGTATTACTATCCAGGAATTGCCTAGAACTCAATATCAGAGGTGTAACCAAGATGCTTGGATGCGTAGTGGGAGTATACCTGAGGTATAATGTCAAAGGTCTCAACTATTCTGTCCTTATGCCGTTCTCGTATCCTTTGAATGAGTCGCTGATATCTGTACCGTCTGAGATGACAAGCTGGGCATCGCTCTGCGAAGCCACAGGTTCCGAAGGGAGAAGCTGGGAAACCTCGACGGTACCGGCGTCGACCGCATCAAAGAACTTTTCCTCTTCGGCCGTGTCAAACCCGAAGATATCCTTCACTTTTTGGCAAGCTGTCCGGTTACGCCGGCGTCATCACGACAATATTCTCCCAACAATCTATCAAGATCGAAACTGGGTCGAACTGCTATCTCGGCCCGTGCCTCAAGCATTCTGCTCATGAGAGGTACCCCGTTAGGTTCTACTCGGACGATCTCTATTGGTAGGGCCAGGCCGAGGGACTTGGTTTCGTCTTTGTTTAGTGGAGGAATCGGAGGAATCAAGAGAACCTGGATGGCCATCTTGCTGAAGCTGAAGAAGGAGAAGAAATACTGGTATCTTTTTAGTAGATGTACTAACGAGATACAATGTATCAGTGTCTTACTTCTTCAATGGTATGCGTTTTATTATTGTCGATGATGCGAATTCTACAAGTATCTACAAATTCCACTATTTGAGTTTCCTTAATATCAAGAATATTCCCATTCGAATTTCCTCAATGTTAAGAATATTCTTGATAGGGATCGAAATCTTGACGCTGTCTCCATCATTGTGCGAGTGGAAGATGACCCGTTGTATGCTCTTGCCATCGATATTGAGCGGGAATTCGGAGGCTAATGTGGACGTGTAACGTTTGGAGTTGTCGAATCGAAGTGGGCCAATTGCTGGGCTGTAGAATGGGAAAAGCCTGTTGCCATATTGTGTGTGCCTGTGTCAATGAGGGGCACTGGATTTGGGATCGGATGAAAACACTGCAGCCCAAGCAGGGGCAGAATGACGAATAGATAGAAATAAAAGAAGAAGAAGAAAAAGAAGAAGAAAGGTCTTGGAGAGCACAAGGTCGGCCTTTAAAAGGTTCTTTCCAAAACGGTACTACCTAGACGACCCAAGAGTGAAATGTTCGGTTGCCATGGCTGCCTTCCCTCGCTGTGTTGGAGTGTCGGTTGATCTGCGGATAAGTACCACGGAAGAGCATTGACCATGACCGTAACGGGACTGCTCCTGCTATTCCGGCTCGCTCCGCAATATCTGCCCCTGGAACAAAGGGGGAGCGAGACCGGAGCTCGGACAAGAGACGGGAACTAAAGATGTTGAACAAGGAAAGTTTCCTGGGAAGAGGGCCTGGCGTACGTAGGTACCGTAGTGGGAAAATCTGTTTCCAGACATGCGTTGTGGTTGTTGGACAATAACCACAATCAATGTTTAATAACCAATGCATGTTTCTTATAGGGGGTAAGCGCTGTAAAATAGTGTCCTTGGTTTTGGAGCCGGGTTGGGTCCGAATCTCGAAATTTCTCAAAGTCTCAAAGTCCTACCTTCCTTCTACCACCCAAAGGTCTCTTTATCAACGGAAAGAACTAGCCATTCCTTCCAGAAAAGACCGAATGGCTCAGTGGCTAAGCGGTTAATGAAGTAGTTCTTCAGTTTTCATTCTTGCTCGTGAACTTTGTTCGATTCCTATTCGTGACCAACTTTTTGAAACTATTCCCAAAGACCTTTCAAATAATGCCGGCCTTCACCTTGAAAGGCCACTATCAAGACCACTAAAGTATAGAAGCTTATACCCTATACTTTTAACTTCTAGGATCTTGGGAGACGATCAATGTTTGGAAAACAATTCTTATTTTCTTTACACGTATTATCTATCAGACAACGCTTGTTGTGACTTAGGGTTTCCCGCTTCGGTACCGTAGCGGGAAATCCCCCAAGACATCTAGCATAGTAGGCTTTACTACCTCTAGGCTAGGTAATTCAACTAGGCTAGTTGAATCACCTAGCCTAGTTGTTCAATAGAAGGCTCTGATTGGTCAATTTAGGTGCCCCCTATAACGGTGCGCTAGACTTTTTTTTTTTTTTTTTTTTTTTTTTTTTTTCCACCTGGGCTACTCTTTCCTAAACTCAAAATCCAAATCCTTATATAGATAGAAAGAACGAGCGTTCTTATCAATCAATTGGGCCAGTCACTCAATGGTTCTCGTCGTCGCTTTCTTTCTTCCTATCACCAGTTCGATCCCGCTGGTGGTCATCTTTTTTCGCGTGAAAAGTTTCGCGCAGAAGTGCCCGTGTAATTGTGTGAATGCCCTCATCCGGACTTTGAAGTCAAAGTCAAAGACTACCTACTAGGTACTATAGTAACTACTACCAATGGCCCTTATAGGGACCTTCCAGAAGGTCCTTATAAGGGTCTTTAGCTTTTGCTTTTTTGCACCCAAATCCGACCAATCAGAACCCTCCATTTTTCAACTAGGCTAGGTGAATCATCTAGGTTAGGCTTACTATTATGGTTAGAAACTGAACTTAGCTTAGTACCCCCCTACTATGCTAGATGCCATCCTTATATGCCCGCTGCGGTACCCTTTCGCTGTCTTTATTGTGGCATTTATTGTCGATACTACAGATCTCCGGAGACACCGACAATGAGAAAAGCCAGTCCATGATCAAGAAATCTCGGCTTCCACTTGACATTAAGGTGAGTTATCTCCAGCAACTGCTTGCTGAGTGTCATGCAAATACGGTGCTCTTGAGCCTCAACTGGCTCCATCGTGGATATGAATTGACTGCACTAACAATTAATCCCGTTGACGTCAAGTCACAAGTGCCTTGTCCCTTCCCGGCAATCGGGCAACTGAACCTGCCCCCACCCCGTCTTCCCTTTCCCTGACAGATGAGAAAGAACGACAGTCTTGGCAGGGGAAAGTTTGTGGGGCGTGTAGGGGTGTATGTAGGTAGGTACGTAGGTAGTTGTCACTCTGTCGGTGCAGGTGCAGACGGGACTCATTTGGGTCGGCTGGGTAGGAGTAGTGGGGTCAAACGTACTTTCCAGTTAGGTCAACGCTCCTTCTTCGTAGTCAACTTTGTCTCGACATCCAGATTCCGTCTCTGAAAGAAAAAAAAGTCCAATTCCTCTTTGCTCATGACTTCGCTGGTTTTGAGAAGACAGGAAGGGGTAAGTAGGCCGTACCTAGGTCAACTTCTACTACCATTTTTCTGTCTAGCAATTCTCCACCCGAAGCTCTTGGGCCTCTTGCGCGACCACCCCAAACCGCATGCACAACGAACCATGACTTTCAACGCCAAAGAACTCCAGGGAAATTCAACACTGGCAGGAAAAGGAGACACTGCTGGAGCCGATGAACATGTCCCTCGATACACAGCGCCAGTGAGCCTGCCCCCCACTCAACACCCTCAAAGTCTCGCGGTGGGTCTGCCCTGGCCTCGGCAGTTCCGCTTCGGCACGGCTCTTCGTCATTGCTTGCGCGCAAAGAAGTGGTAGAAATCGTTGATGTCGTATCCCGCCAAGTTTGATGATGTGCTAACCTTGGACTGATATACAGGCCCCTTTCGATTCTTTTCGTCGCCATAGCCGTCTTTCACTGTTGGTCTTGGGCCATACCCTCGAAATATGAGAAGCTGTGGCCATTTTCAGTACATCATCCGCGACAATCCGATCGACGTACGAACAACGGCGGTGGTGGTTCCCAGCTTTCCGCTCTCCCACTTCTATTACAATCATTCGTGCTGCCTGTCCTAATAACAGCACCATCGCGCCATTTCTTTGCACAGTTAATGCTGCCAAACATACCAAACACGAGGCAAACCAGGTGGGATTTACTGTGGGTGTTGAAGGTCAATCACGCCCTTCCATGTCTGCACGTGATTGTGTTTGTATAGTACTATGCGCAGACTGAACACAGATATACAGATACAAACCGAACAACATGTTGCGAGCAAGTTCGCTCACAAATTGCCAGACTTGGATACAAATAGCACTCTTGGTCTCTGCATAGTCCCCTGTTCTTGAGGGTCAGACGTCTTCGTTCATGTGTTCTTTTCACCGCTCCTCGTTGATTCTTTCACTGTATGGTCATTTGTTAGTACTCATCGCCTACTGCCTGCTACATCTAGGCGCTGCAGTATCACCTACACACACTTGCTTCGCCCTCTTATTTTCCTCACCTGGCTACTCGACCAGATAATCGCTGATTGGTAATATCTTCATTCCTAATATCCGGCCTTCTCTGATTCCCTCTTTTTGTCGAAGATGAAGTTCAAGTGTTCTTTCATGTCTCACGTTGTGTTCGTTCTTCACTATTCCATCTAGTCACTGTTCTGAGGGCTCACCTACCGAACCATGATTAATGGAGGACGAACATACTGCAATGTCACAACAAGACAGCTTGACCAGCCCGACAATGATGCATCCCCGACAGCGGACAGCGTCTTAACTCGCTACAACCCGTTCCAGCATCCTACCCATATTGCTGCTAGGCCTTCAAACCCGCTCTCTCCCATTTCTTTTGCCCTTGTGGATGGACCTCGCATTGAAACCTCCCCTGCTTGAAATACGGCCGTTCCTAGACGTACAGGTCCGCCTTTCATCCCATCGTCCAATTCCACCCCGCTAGCCACCATATAAGGCCCCGCGTCAGGCCCTAATTCCAGCGCGGACCAACTGGCCAGATGGCCGAGCGGTTCTGTGTATGAAAACTGCCGGTGTGCGTGGTACCCGTGGCACAGTTTTCGTAAGTCGCAGCTGGAGCATGGTGGTTCAATCCGCCAAGTCTTCTGGGCGACTGAGCTTTTTGCCTTGTTTGTCGCCCTGTACAGCAGTTGAAGATGGCATGGGTACCTTCTCCGCGTTTTTCTCTTTCATTTGTATTTGCTTTGGAAATTTGTTTTACATACCTATTTTTCGCTCAAAGCGTAGCGTTTCCGATCGTGGGGAAGCATTGCAGCTGGTGCAGGATGCCTGCGTGGCTCAGCGGCGCCATCATGAAATCAGGAATCCGAATGTCCAGGGCGGCCGGGCGATGTTCGTCTGTTAGTGTTTATGCACCATAGCCCTCAAAGTCTAGTGACTGCACTATCACTAACACATCCCTTTCTTCTCCACTTCCTCTCCCTCCGCAAATTCCGTCGACGACCGACTGTCCGCGCCATTTCTCTACCGATTTGTCAATCTTGTTCACGTCTTCACAATACGTACCACTACCTATATCAACTAGCTCCTATAATACATGGACCTGTCCTCGATACGAAGCACCACGACTGACGTTGGACACAATCTCGGCTCTCAAATGGCACCACAAGTTCAGCCCCCAACACTTGACAGTCTGCGACAATGCCAAAATCTCCGGCGGCTTCAAACTCCAGATTGTCAATCGGGCGGAGCGTGTATTCATCATCCCATCTTCTCAGGAACAGATCGTTTCAACTGGCTGGGTCCAGATACACCCAAATACCGGCCCCCATCCTACCTATTGTTTGCTTTTTTCTGAATAGAGTGTGGGTCCACCATACCGGTGAGCCAACAACTGGAAAATATCAAGAACAATAGGAATGTTCAATCCTCAATACCTTGAGGCATTCGCCGTGACTGGTCACGAATAGGCCATTCGGGTGATGATAGCATCCTGTAAAGGTTGAACACGATGTGCTAGCTATTAATTGACCGTTAAAACACCGCGGCTGCTCAAACTTCCGACCCTCATCTTCCTCGCTCGATTAACAATTCGAGAAACAAAAACAGCGACATCGGCTATACTCATTTGATACTGTCAACCTTTCGACTCTCAAACACCCTACTATACCAATCACAGCCACAACAACGCCGAAAATGCTCTCCTCTCACACGACTCACCAACAACAGAGTTGGACACATATTGATCAACCTTCCACCCCACTACCCGGCGCGTCACAATCTCGATCTGGCGTCGGCTATTCTTCCAGAACCTCTCTGTATGTCTGACCCTATGGTACCGCCATTCTCTCGCGCAATAGAATTGTGTCGTACTAACAACAGTTCGCTAGACGAGCCTCGCCGTTTTCTCGTTCAGAATCGGATTACTCGTTCAATTCCCCAAACCCGACCGTCCACCACGCCCTTGAGTCGACTCCCCTCGCTGGCTCTCCTGCCTCTACTCCGCTATCAACCCCTTTTGATACGCCTGTGGCCACACTTGTTCTTGGGCCCGTCAAATCTGTCCACCGTCCTGGAACGATTCCCGTCACACCACCCTTGAGTCCACTTAGGGTGCCTCTGCTTCCTTTTGTGGCAGCATCATGCCAGATCGATGATGACCCCGGCTTTTTAAGAGCATTGGATGAAGATATGGGGGGATTTTGGGCTGATAGAGCGGAGGAATTGGAATCCGAGATTCAACTTCGACAAGTCGTAATTGCCAGTTATCAGGGGGACATTGCAGAACTTACAGAGCAGGCCAAAAGGTCGTTGCGGGCAGATTTGCAGAGGAGGGTAGCCTATTTGGAGAAGCACATGGCAGTTCATCTCCAAGATCAAATTGAGACTCGAGAGAAGCTGGCTCAGGCTACCGAGAATTTGGATGCACTGCGCGCTGAGGAGCAACTACAGCTGGCGCCGGTTGCTGAGGAAGCAGCGGTACCAATCGAGGAAGTCAACAACAGGCTAGCTTTGGATGAGTCCATGAGCGCAATACAAAGCATCGCGCAGCTCGCTAGAGATCTATTGAACGACCCTCGCCTAAAGACTTCTACGCCGGCCTTTCCACATACTCCATTTCTTGCTTCCCCAGCGCCCACACCGGCTCCAAGCCCTGCGGCTGGCCCCGATACGACTACAGCCACGAATCCAGCCCCGACGCCAGATCGTCAGCTTCCAGTCCCGTCTGCACAACCCACGTCCATCGATACACAACGGACACAGCGGAACGCCAAGGGCAACGACAACGGCAAGCCCAGGCTTGTCAAGAAGCCGAAGCTCCTTCACGAGCTCAAGTGGCTTTCCCAGGTTGGAGGAGCCGGGAACTCGGCCGTTGTTGGACACGCAATAATGAAGAGGATGGGGATAGCGAGAATGACAAGTGGACTGGAACTGAAAAGATGGCGGACGTGTCGAATGAGAAAAGAGTCACCGATGAATGGGCTGGACGGCTCCGAAAGAGGACCAAAGTTTGGAGGAAGAGTTCAGGAAGGTACGAGGATGCGGCCAATGTTGAGAAGCCAGTGATGGGACTGAGTGAGCAGAAGAGGAGGGTGGGTCGGCCTCGGAAGGGAAAAAGGAGGTAGTACATTGAGGATTCCGAAGCGGGCAGAAGACTTGAGGAGAAGGTAGAGGCCAAGGCAGACAAATATATCAACAGCTTCTTCCTTTTCGTGCGCAACTCTCGGAACTCCTCACCGACATCGTTTTAATGCGAAGCAACTTTCAATCCTCCCAAACCTGCAACAGCTAAGCTACAATCTTCAAACCTGAAAGAGATAGCTTAACGACTGCATGACTCCAGCAAGCGATGTCTTTACCACAGGCGTCTCTACCTCTCCATGCCCGCCAGCCAGCAATTCCTCAAGACTATAGGTACATTTACCAACTCAGCGGGCATACCAAGTAGGGAGAGTTGACTGAACCCCGAACCATAGCATTTGCGATCATACCTGCATACGTGCGACGAAACACCGACAAATCCTCCGCGTTGGGTAATTCTATGTACAGGAACAGTAACATGGTTATTCAATTTTATACCCGACGCACTAATTCACCTAGGAATTATCAACAGTAACAATGATAATCCCGACGGAATTCCCATGCTTAGTAATATTTTATAAGAAGGAAGTCTTAAAGGACAACTCCCAACCCCCAATCCAATGTCCAAAACAGTCATCTAGGTACCATCAACAGCACACGTACCCGAAACAACATCTGCCTCGACGATAGATATCATCTTGTTTTCATCTGTCTGTACTTCTTATAACCCACTCGCTGATCAAAGGAATATCTCTACAGTGAAGGCAACATCTGTCGCGAACCTGGCGTACCAATTTCTTCCCGTTGAGTCGGCTCTTCAAGGGTCCGTGGATCGAGAACCTGGAAAAATTTCCACTCACCCATTCACTCATCCAGTCAAGGGTCAAAAAAAACCTGAACCTGGAGTGGCTTCTTCACTGTTGCAAGGAAAATTTTAGTGTTTAGGGCTTGTATAAATTTGATCTTTTCACCTGGTTTGCAACTCTTATTTGTTTCCCGAAATCATCTTCCCTTCCAAGCGCAAATCCAGATATTTCGATCAGGATACCGACCTTCACATCGATACCGACTTAATCCCGACATCGCTACACCATAGACACAATGTTGGCAACGATTACACCTACCTCTGGTCAAGTGGCTCTTGCCCAAGATACTCCTACCTCTAGCAACAGCGTATCCTATCGCTTGCTCGACGACGTCGACATCATCGAAACCATGTCAACGTAGGTCCTCCTATGTTTCCCGCGCCACCCCCTAATTAATGTTGCCCTATGCTGACATCGGATCAGTTTACGCGATCTTATCGGTCATCCAATCACTCCCACAATCATCACCAAGCAATTCGCACCAACTCCCCGTCGGGATGGGTTTTCGCGCCAACGAATCACTCACCATCACTCCCTCTCCTTTGCCAAACTCCAGCCGCGGACTATCACCTCTATCAATAGAGGTAGGAAGGCTTCACGTCCGACTTCGAAGCGGTTCGACAGACGGCAATCGCGCACCTACTGGCCTGTTTGGTACCAGAAACAGCGCCGGCGGGAACGCAAAGAGGCCGCACGTAACATGAAGTTAGACGAACAGCGGCGGTTGGAGTTGATGGAACTTTGGGAGGACGAGTTCTTCCAGATCTTGATGTATCTTCTAACGGAGCATCTGAAGAGGGCAGTTCTTGCACTGGCGCTGGAGCTCCGGAGGGAGATGGAACGATTGGACGAGATAGAGCTGGAACTATTGAACGAGATGGAGGATTTAGGTTGAGCAACTAGCCTACTGCCAATTGCCATCATCTAGTTGTATTTTGTACTATGTGTTATAGAGGTACTTTGCCCAACACTACCACTTCCCATCGCAGCTGCCCGTCGGTGAAGTCTTCACTGTCCGATTGCAGCATCCGCATCAATCCCAGCCTCTATCACTCGCCGTTGTACTAATAGAGTTTCTACGCTCGCACATGAGATGAACTCGGTCGCCCAGCTCGGCGGCGCTGGCAACACTATCTCCCTTGGGAAGAGGAAGCGGGATACCAACGACGAAAAGGAGGAGGATGCCGAAGTGGATGATCAGAGATCTGAGACAATAGCCAGGGCTTCGCCGATGAGAGATAACACCATGCTTGGAGTATGGGCTGGACGACTGCGTTCATGGGCTGTCAAAGAAGAACAGAAGAAGCTAGGAAAAGGAGGAGAAGATCAGAGTGCAAGTGGCGGCCGTTCAAAGAAGGAGGACAGAGACAGGAAGTAGGACGGCTGAGGTTGTGCTGGAGAGACTTCGCTACCTGATAGCACTTGAACTGGGAGATTTGGCTAATATGCTAGGTCAATATACCTATATCGAGAGTTCAAGGATCGCATGGAAACCATATTGTCTGGTGACGCTTTGTCAGCTTTGGGTTCTCCATGAGACTGGATGGAACAACGGAAAGGCATGACATAGGACATTGACATTGTGTCACGAGATGACTTGCTTACCTGGATCAATGAGTGCCCGTGTTTTGAGCGTGACCATCCTCTTTCGCCAAATTTGACATGGTGTTGACGATACTGGTGCCATTGGTCGAAGACATCGGGGACCATACCTCTGGTGAGGGGTGTGTTACACAGGCGCAACCGTCAACCTCCAGGATTGGCGGTCATCTGCGGCTTCCTCTTTGTTGGTCGTGATTGCTTGAAGTTGACGTCCGGAACAGGGAATTTTGGCGACATCCGGGTATGACGTATACCCTCCATTACGGGCATTTTGCAACAAGATTTGCGAGTATGTCAATAAAAATGTTGAAGTGCCATCAAGGAAAGTGAAGTCCTGTGCCACGAAGGTGATGGTGATGAAAAAACAGATATGAAGGGCTGGAGCAGTCTCCCTTCCAAGCTTGAGTCATGAGAGTAACAGACTGGAGGAAGATTTTGCGACACTAACGTAGCTTCCGTTCTCAACACCAGAGCCCCCACATCATCAGATCTTGCAAGGAAACAACGAACCGTCAACTGAAGGCAAGAGCAATCCAAACAACAAGATGTCCGCCCAACATGAAGAGCAGAACCAAATCACCAAGGACCAAAAGCCCACCTGGTCCGAATGGGCCAAGACCCAGTACAACGCCCAATACGAGTCCTGGGTTCCATGGCTAGAAGATCTCTACCTCCGCTACTTCACCAAGGACAACAAAGCGAGTTATGCCACCAAGGGTTTGTGCCGCTCCTTCTTTGATGATTCCCAGTCATGTTGAACCGAGGCCCATGAGACTGACTTCGTCTTTCGTCGACAGACACACTTTCCAAGACCAAGGTCACCAACATCGAACCAGTAGACACCCTTCAAGACGGGGTGCATGACCTCGTCGCAGGACAAGTGGGACAAGGAGGACTAGGACAGCCAGTTGGGGATTTGTTGTCGAAGGAAGGAGTGAATAGGATGGAGAGGAAGGGGAAGAATGAGACGGGTGGTTATTTCCCTGACGTGAGAAACGTGGGAGGGTTATTGGGAAGGGAGTGAGTGATGCTGACAGCAGGAAAGTAACGATTTGATGGGTGTTAGTAGTAAGTGACGATACATGTACGTCTAGGACATCTATTGAATCTATAGGCTCCCCCACCCCCCTCCCCCAAGTTCCCGCCCTCCGTCTCTTACTCATCCCCCACCCCTTACAACCACCTCCCCAACTCCGCCTCTGTCCACTCCCAAAGCCTCTTAGCCAAAGCCTCATCCCTCGCCGCGGCGGTCAACTCCCCCTCAGGCACCCGCTTCCCAACAGGATCATACAACCCTCCATTCACCAACTCCTTTTCTTCTACGGTAGCAGCCCAAACAGTATTCTCCGCCCCCTCTTCCACCGTCACCATTCCCTTCTGCCCCCGAGCCAATTTAGCTCCCAACTTGGTCATCCAATGATCCACAAACCCAAAGTTCTTGACCATATCACTCTCCACAAACCCCGGCGTGACCGTCACCGAAATAATCTCCGGGTACTGCTTCGCAAGCTGAGAGGTATACAGCGTATTAGCCAACTTCGACTCTGTATACCGCCGCCATCTCTGATACCCCAGGAAATCATCCTTGTCCTTAGCTAAACCATCTCCAGACACGCGCTCGAGATCGACGGTTTTCGCCATGCGGTAGCCGTAGGAGCCTAGGCTGATGATTCTTGCACCACTAGAGGTATCCTTGCGTAACAGAGGCAAGAGTTTGCGAATGAGTAAAGCGTGGCCGAGGACGTTGGTGGCAAATTGGATCTCGTAGCCATCTTCTGATTTGCCCAGAGGAATGGCGGCGATGCCGGCGTTGCAGATGAGAATGTCGATTCTCTCTTCGGTTTCTAGCAGCTTTTGAGCGGTGGCGGAGACGGAAGCGAGGGAGGCGTTGTCGGTGGGGAGGAAGGTGATGTTTGTGCAGATGTTGCCGTTGGAGTTGGACTCGGCTTCTGAGCGGATTTTGGAGATGAGTGTGTCTGCGGTGGCGGAAGAGGAGGGCCGGCCGGTTATGTAGATCTTGTGTGGACCGAGGCGGGCAAGGGCGAGAGCGGTGACGGCGCCGAGGCCGCGGGTGCCGCCGGTTATGAGGATGGTTTTGCCGGTGAGGGTGGTCATGGTGTTGAGGGATGAAGAAGGGTTTTGGTTTGGAGACTGGACTTGGATATTAGAATCCGATGGGAAGTTGTGTCTTTTTATGTCCCTGTCCCTGTCCCGGCCTTATCAGTTGCTTATAAACCTCGGGTCCTTGTTCCATTTCGTGGTGGTTGCCTGGAAACTGGAGTGTACTAAGCACCTTGCATAGCGCCGAAGTCGAAGATGTCGTGGTGATAGTGCGACTGCTGATGTGCGGCACAGCCCCAAAAGGACAGCGGCAATAAGATAACCCTTCGAATACGTGATCCTACATCGGTTATCGCGCCTATTGGTCGGTTACCTCTGATCCCTGAAGGTGTCATATCATCACCTCCATGTCTGTGGTCGCCGGCCCCTTCCTGCAAGACAAGGGTTAGGGTTGTCACACCAATCGCTCAGGGACACCAACTCACACAAGACACTCGAAGATAACAAGTGATTACCAATACCCATATGAAAAGTAAGCCCGTAAGTACTCTCTCTAGTCGCTCCAGTTTCTCATCATGTCCTCCAAATATTTCCCTTACCCCCTCCACCTCTGCTCTTACCCCCTCTCTTGACCTCAAGACTACAACCCAGCATCATCCTGCTTCCACGTACTTCCCGGGTACCAACCCGCCCAATTCCCACAATTCTGTTCAACCGTCCCCAAACTTCCCCCACCCCCATCCCTCAAAGCATCCAGCCTCTCCAACACCTGCACCCCCAGCCCCTGACTAACATGCCACCCCACATGACAGTGAAACAGCCACACCCCAGGATTGTTCGTCCTCCAAGCCACCAGCAACCATCCCCAAGCCGGCAACATTGTAGTGTCTCTCCTCGGGGGATTGTTTCCCTTCAAGGTGGACTTATCCGTATTGGGGTTATACTCCCTTATCTGCGTCTCCGCCAGCGGATCAGCTAGGGGCGGGGAGCTACCGAGGATCATGACGTCGTGGCCATGGAGGTGGATAGGATGCGGGATGGGCGAGTTATTTTGCAACAAAAAGTACGTCAAGGTATTAGACCCGGGGATTTGGATCAAGTTGCGAGAGCGCGGGACAGAAGAGAGGGTGTTGTTCGCTACGTAGCGCAGCGTGGGTTCCTGCCAGTTCACGCGCAGCGGCGAGTTGTTGACGGGCCAGAAGACGCGGGCTTGGGAATTGTCTACCGTCAAATCGACATTGAGGGTGTGGGATGTAGTGGGCGCAAAGGAGTTGACGTCCGCGGAACGGGAGACGATAGGCGAGTAATCTCGTTCGGGTGCGGCGCAGCGGGAGTCTGGAGGGGCGACGCCGCGTTGTGTGGGCAGGGAGGCGGAGGAGGCGCCGGAGTAAGAGAAGATGGCGGCTGGGTAAGGGTTGTCGGATTGGCCGCAGGGTAGGGCGGAGAAGGTCACGTTGAACCAGTAGTTGGCAGTCGGCTGGTTGGCATTAATGATGACGTCGTAGCGCTGGCCAATGCCGAGGAAGAGATGGTTGCGCGTGATGGGCTTGATGGGGACCATGTCGGTGGCAACAACTTGGAAGGTGTGCCCTACAAGACTGACGGTGAAGGCGTTTTGGAGGGAAGTGTTAATGAGTCGAAGGAGGTGTTTCTTGCCCTTGGTCAGGGTCTTGCGGGTGTAGGTACCACCGGAGCCGTCGGGGTTGATGTTACGGCCATTGAAGAGAACATTGTCGCTGGCAGGAGGTGAGCCGGGAAAGTTGGGAATGAAGGGATTGCTGGGATTGTTGACGCGGTGGGCAATCTCGAAAACGGAACCATAGTACCAGTCCGAGAGAACGAGTGGTCCAAGATCGGTGTCGTAGTCGGCGGATGCGGGTCCCTTGATGACGATGGGTCCAAGAACACCGTTTCCGTACTGGAGCGGGAAGTGAGAATGGTACCTGGTCTGTTAGCAGACATTGATATGTCCTTGGGGAGTAGACATACCATGCTGTGCCGTACTGGTTGGCGAGGAATGTGTAGGTCTTTCTGCTTCCAGGAGGAATGGGGCATTCGGTAACCCCGTTGACACCGTCTTGAGTGTTGGCGTTGAGCATGCGAAGGCCGTGATAGTGGATCGAGGTGCTGACTAGGTTAGGCGTTGTCTGCTGGGGTATGTGGAGGAGCCCTACCCGTTGGATCTCATATTGTTGATGACGGTGATCTGGAGTCGGTCGCCCCAGTCTGGCTAATGTCAGTACGTGGCTCGCCATGACCTGGAGAAAAAAGGATGTACTCACTTGCGCTAATGATTGGACCTTCAATGTTTGGAGTTGATTGTAAGTATGGCAACATCGCGCGATATGTCATCGTTCACATACCTGGAAATTGGCCTGGATGATGTTAGCTTGATTCTTATTTCCAGCGCTCTAATTGAGACTCACCATTGACAAGCATTGCACTGTACTTCAACCGCCCATCACCCCCTCTCCAAGTGCTTTGTTCGGTCAAGGTCAAGGTATACTGCTCTTGTCAGCCATGCCAGCTTTGCCGCCAAACGAGACCCGGGCTTACTTGTCTCGTAACACCGGTCTCGGGCACATGTGCTTCATAGTCCGTGGTGATATTGAAGGAGCTCGTCCAGCATTGTCTGTTGGAGGCGGTGTTGCATGACTGCCTAGCCCCCAGGACGTGTGGTTGGGACTCTGCTAGTGGACTACCATGGGCGAGACTGCTCAGAAGTAGACTCCATAGGAGTCCGCCAAGAGGTTTGAACATGGTGTTGAGGCGATCCCGAGAGGCACAATAAGGCGATTGACAAAGACCTAGAACAGGGCAGTTGGGCTGGTGAGCTGTGGTTGACAGGCACTACGACCATTTCGCTCTCGAGGGCGTCGAACATCATATACCAAACAGTGAACTGGCTTGAAGATGGCAAAGTGGGTTCGCGATACAGCTGACGGCTCGGTGCATTCATGGTGTCACGACAACACCATGTGGCGGTCAGTGACACTGGCCACTTTCACGACGTGAAGGAAGTGGGTAGCTCAAGAATCAAGATGGTTTGCTCTTGTTGGCAATGGTCTATCTTGCTGCCGTCGTATACACCACTCTCTTCAGTATTCAGTCCATGTCTAAGCATGTTGGATGACTGATGGTGAAGCATGTCCAATGACGAAGCCGCTCCATTATATTTCCTTGTCATGAAGACCGGACCGCCGAACTCCAGCCGTGGACTATTCGAGAGTAGGGTTCAGATGATGAAGTCGAACTAAAATCTCCAGGAAATTGAGAGATTCATCATTGGCCAATGGGACGTTCGAATGAGGTAACAATCTCGTGGAGATCCAAAACGCGACGATAGGGGGCAAGGTATCGGACTTGGTAGGTAAACAACAACGGTCCATGTTACAACAGAATAGTCCATCGCATCGCATGGCCATCAGTGAATTTCGGCCTGCTTCTCCTCAACTGGAATGGCGAGCCATGTCAGTAGCCGCTTCAACTCCCGATGAGTCCCGACCTTGGGGACATGGTTCCTGCAGCTCGGGTTTGGGCCAACCCTTTTATGGCGACCCGCATGAGGAATCGCGGCAGTGACTGGCCGGTCGGGGCAGCCAAGGTATGCGAACCTCCTGCGTGATATTGGACTGGCGAGCCTTCTGACACTTTGGAGGCAGACTGAGCGGAGTTGTAGAAAAGTTTGTTTTCTACTTGGCGGGTGTTGTAACGGAATCCAAATGGCCTGAAAGCGAGCTGACATATGAACAAGAGAGGAAAGGAGAGACAGATCCCCAGGGGACAATTTGCTGTCACAGCTCCCTATCAACGGCCTGTGATAGTCAATTGGAAGGACAGAAATACGAGGCGAGGAAGGTTGCTTGAACAGGTCACCTGCCACTACAGCTTTGGTCGCAAATAGACCGGAGAAAGCTTTGTCGACGATACGACAGGGCATGTGCCACAGCCCTTGTGCCTGTCGATCCTAGTTTCCCAGTCTTCTAGTTGTGTCCTGCTCAGTCTTTAAGCTGCATGTTATCGATCGAGTATGGAAGTCCGAGGGTCGCAAGAGAGGCTGCAGAACTGGGCATTTTGGTACATATCGTGGAGTTATGAGACCTGTCTTGTGGCTGATGGAGGCTGCTGTTTGAGATGTCGGGGTCCGGGGTTGGTCGGATCGGTTACACACTCCCTCTTCCGATGTCGCCGGTTTTCCCTTCCGGGGTAGTCTTAACGGATGACTAGGAGACACACAGCGCATATCGGTTGACGTTATGTCGATTGCGGTGTTAGTGTCTCGGAGAGAAGCCTGTCTCGAACAGTCGCGGGATTTGGGCTTGACTTGCTAGCACGACAAAGGGTTTGAGACTTGCCTGCTGTGCGACAGAAGCGGGAGATTTTGCTTGGAATGTCTTGCATACTTGCCATGTTTCCACGCTCCCGTAAAGCCTTGGTAGAACTAAGCTTATTTTACACTGGAGGCAATTATCCGTCCTTCCTGGCTGGGCATCGGGAACGAATCTTTGTTGGGAAATATCGGAACGCTGGGAAGAGTCAAGAGCCTCAGCTGCCCTCTTCCTCCACTTTTCCGCGCCAATTCCCTGTTGTTCGCCGGGCAGAGAACAATCGTGGAGCCTTGGAAGCAGCCTCGTATTTGTCCCTGCCTGTAACTCGGTTCTCTTGGTATGCTTCATTCCTCGTTCGGTTATGGCCTTCGCATGATGTGGACGAAAGGCTCCTTGGGAAGGCTTATATACGTGGCGTCTCGTAGTTCCTCGTTCGCGTTGGATCCCATCGAGCAGGAGGAAGCTCTCTCGGCTCGCGAAAGGGTGACATTGCTCGGACACCTTAGCAGATGATGGATAACTAGAGATGGCAGTTCAGGTCTGGTTAGCATGGGCGGAGGATTGTAAGTGGTACTTCCAGTATGTAGTCACCGTCAAGCGACCGACGCGCAATCCGCATGGACGACAGGTGACGCGTGCTGATGTCTCCCTGATTGGGCTAATGGAGGCTGAAGGGAGAAGCTGTCGATGACCATTGCCCTTGGTGCTTGGAATCTTTGGAAAGTGAAAGATTCGCTGGTGGAAAGTGGAAGGAGTGGGAAGCGGCATACTTACAGTACGTTACGGTCACAAGTGTCGTCACCTGACCAGCCACGGGAAACGAACGGAAAGCGACGTGCATATAGGTAGAGGTAGGTAGGTACCTACCGAGCAAACGACCCGTCACCCTTCCGTGCCTTCGTCGCCAACAACTACACACAAGACATTGCGCTTCCCTGTCTGCCTCAGCCTGGTCCCTAGAAGGCATGCTGCTCACCAAAGGTGCCACCATCCGGGTTCACACCGGCGAAGAGCCCTTTTCAGTAGAGGTAAGTCCTCGGCGTATCACCTACACCCGGGCACGTACCAGACACAGTTGTTGACTCTTTCATTGCCTAAGCATGAATATGAACCTCAAAACCCATTGTCACCGAGTAGAGCATGGCAATAGCAATACCTCCTCCATTGGGGACAGTCCCTGGAACCGGGTTCAAGTTCCCTAGTCAGGATGCCCAGCCAGCTTCAACGATATGACTGCGACTTCGAAGCATCACTTTGTGTTGGACCGCCATCACCAGCCATCACCATGAACATGGGATGCTCCGAGGCACCCCGCGAAGATTACCTAACCGTGGAAGCCACCCGGTCATGCTGACACGGCACTCATCCCACGTGGCTTGCCAAACCACCTCAGCAGACTCAGCCGCGCCCGGGTTTCGGAGCTGTCAAGCGAATATTGGCTAGCAGCAACCAGTCTAAAAGCTTCGCCATGCCTCAAACACGGCAGTCGAATTATCGTGTCTGCAAGCCATCGTCCTGCTTTCACATTATTTTTTGGTCCTCGACACCAAAATAGGAACATGAGACGGCTGAATGTCCATCCGCTGACGGTGCGGTATTGCTTCCAGAGAGAAGTCAAGGAGGGGTTGAAGGGTCAAGAAGGGATATAAAGATGTCGGTTGATGCTGTGAGGAGGTAGGAACTTCTGAACATCAACGACATCACCAGCTCTCCTGTCAAAACATTGGCGAAAAAGAGACCATGAAAGATCTGCTGAAGCTCTTCTTCTTCCTGGCCCAGGGACTCCTCGTCCTTGGGACCACCACAACAGGGGGTCCTCCCAAATGCAATGCCGACAAGTGAGTGCTCCTTCTCTCCAAGTTTCCCTCGAGCTAACATAGAGGTACTCAGCTGCTATCGCGCCCTCTTCCCCTGTCCATCCCCATCCGCCGTCTCCGTGGCCTCGGCGTTCTGCGCCACCATAACCGCCTCCGGCACCACCGCAACCAACTATCCCACCCGAGCCACCAACGCCTGTGGCTCTACTCCCGATCGCTACATCTCCGCTTGCAAATGCGGCCCAACCTGCTCTTCCACCACCACCACCACCGCTACCGTAACCGCCTGTCCCTCGGCTACCCCTTCCAACGGCGGCCTAGTCTACGGTGACTTCGAATGCCCGTCCCCTTCTCCCCCCTGGACCGTCCAAATCCTCGATCCCTCTTTCTCCCTCTCCACCACCACGATCAACAGCTTCACCGGTAACCGCTCTCTCCGCGCTTCTCTCACTGGCCCATCTACCTGCTCTGGAGTCTGCACCAATGCGCGCATCATTAGTCCTCCACTCCCGATTACCCCAAACACCGACTACAAACTCACCCTCGCCACCTTCTTCCCCAATAACGCAAACGGCGGCACCGGCTCAACCGGCTTTATCGGCGTCCAGATCAACGGGCGTGCAGGCCTAACCATCGACGCCAACGACAGCCCGGGTCGCGAAAAGTGGCGCTTCACGCAGTCCCCCTGGCGTTCTCTTGCGTCTGAAACCACCGCTGAGATTCGTATCGAGTGGATCGGTCCTCCCTCTTTCCTCGACACCGTCACTTTCGCCCCCGTCTCGGCCTATTCCGGATCAACCCCTCCACCTCTCGGTATCCTTCCCGGCGGCGAGTTCGAGAACGGGTTAGGTTCCTGGACACAACAAGTCCCCGACCCCGGTGCCACCGCCGGCGTCGTCACCTTGCCCCTCCCCGGCCAAGTCAACCCCGATTACCGCTTCGGTTCGCACGCCTGGCGGGTTGTCTCTCCCCAGAAACCAAACCCTGCGAACCAAGAGTTCCTCGTCTCTGCCCGTCTTATTTCCCCAACGGTGTCGGTGATCCCTGGGCGAAAGTACTTGATTAGCTTCTCCACGTACTTTGATGCGTTCGGGATTGGGTTCGTGGGGCTGATGGTGAATAACTTGCCGATTTATACGAGGGATCCTGCAGATGCAGGGCAGGGAGGGATTGGATGGTGGGGACCGAATACGGTTTACTGGACGGCGCCTGAGAACGTGTCGAGTGCGCAGCTCAAGTTTGAGGCGGTCATGTCGGAGGCAGGGACGATGGGGGTGGATGCGGTGGTTATGGTGGAGGTTAATCCCGCTGCTGTCACTGCTTGAGGTCAAGCGAGTGGGGGGGGCTGCAGATGATGTAGGTGCTTGTGGTGGTGATGTTTGGAGGCCCTTTTACTTTGGTCAGCCCTGGTGACATGGAGTTCGGGATTCGAGGTGTCCACAGATGGTAGGAGTGATGAGAAGTCCAGGGGGTAAAGTGTGATGCAGGAAGGCACGGTGAATCCGGTCGAAGCTGAGAGTTGGAAAGTGCCTCTTTGGCGTTTGAACGGCGGTTGGGTTCTCTTCGAGATGCTGCTCGGGTCTTTGATGGGAAACAGCGATAATAGCAATGTACTACCCGCCATGAAGAAGGATTAAAGGCGGGCAGTGGCAATAAGTTAGTAGAGGTACTGTTTGTTCGAGCCAGTGGCCCTCCATCTACCTTTGTCCCTGCTCCAATTGTTCAACCAACTCGTTTTCGTTCATCTTCACATATTGGCTTTTGACATTGTTATTCACACACTTCTGTCTTGCAACCCGTTATGGCGTCATCAAGCACGCCCTCCCACTCCTTCACCAGCGACGTCAGATCAACGTATAGCGTATTAATTCCGGAACCAAACACACGTTCGATTCCTTAGCCCAGCGACATGTCTCCCAACAACAGCCCTCCTTGGCCTCGTCCTGTCACTCCGGGACTATATGTTCCTGTTATTTCAGTGCTGACGGCACCACGTCCACCGCCATCGCCTCAGCCACTCCCCGATCTGGGACCTCTGGAGCTTCCTCCGGTTGACTGGGACCGGGTCCTTCAACAACAAAGGGATGGGACTCCAGTGTCCACCCTCATATGAGTCCACTTGTGAGCCCTCTGACCGTGACCTTCAACCCTATCATTGAGCTTGACTTGCCGCACCGTCCCCGATGTCCTCACGCACCTTTTTTGACTTCACGCACCACATGTCAGCTGTCATAATTACAAGCCGTTTTCCCATAGAAATTTCCGTATTTTCAATATTTCTAAGCATCATAGTGCACTAAGTTAAAGAAGGGTACATTAAATTAAAAGGGTACATCAAATTATAAGGGTACGCCAAATCATCTAGCAATATTTTATAGTATTGAACGAGTAATAATCTATTAATTTTTACAATAAAATTAAAGCTCTATAAGGCTTTTAATTATCTACAACCAACGGATTACTTAAATTACTACCCAGCCATACTCTATATAAGTCTAGGTCTTCTAAGCAATCTTTTAATAGGTAAATTTATTTAACCTCCTTATTTACTACTTCCTTCTCCCTCCTTCTAACCGCTACCCGCTTTCTCTAATCTATTATAGCGTAATCTAAATTAGTAAGGTACTCTTTTTTAATATTATCACTATTAATAACACTCAATAGAGAGTTTAGTAGGGAGTCCGGTTCTATTAGAATAGGGTGCTTATAGGAAGTACATACTACGCGGTTAGAGGAGGAGGTTAGAATTAAAATTCTCGCTTTACCTTTATTTAATCCCTTTAATCTACCCCTTTTATATTTAAACGGCTACTCTAATAGCTAATTATTATTACTAATAATAATATATTCTTACTTATTATTAATAATATTAGTATTATTAATAATATTAAGAGCTTCCAAATTAGGATTAGAGACTTCAATTCGAGAGTAATTACGTCTCGTACCGCGGGGGATATAGCTACCTCTTCCAATTCGAACTGCCCTGTAGGGACCTTGGGCTCCTTTACTAGTACTATTATTACTAGCGATAGGGGTAGGGACGACGGCTTTATTACTAAAGGGACTATATTAGTTCTTTAGCCTCTCCTTAGGAGCTGTTTTAATTACTGAAATAATGTAAAAATATTAGTTTTATACATTTAGCGCCTCCTCGAAATATTAGAAGGGATAGTAATCGATTTTATTAATTAGTACCTTCTAAGGATTATTGTAATTATACTACTTTAATAATTCGTAAATATATAATAAGCTATATTAGTTTCTAAAATTACTATAGTAGGAGGGGAGCTCTTGAGGGCGGAGGTTACAACTTAACCGTATTATATTAGACACCTTTATATACTACTCCATTAATATATTTAAACCCTAATTAGATATTTAAAATCTATAATCACCTAGCCAACCCTTCTGTAGATACTCGCAATATACTTAGGTACTAAATAAAGTGATACCCTCCTTATATAAATTATAGCGCTTTTAAGTAATAGCCTTAATAGTATAAAATACTTTATTAAGACCCGTACGGGCTAATAATCCTTCTATTTTAATACTAATATTAGTAGATTCGTTAAGGGAGGTAATTCTACTACCGAAGTTAAAATTAGTTTTAATATAATAGCCCGCCTACTCTAATTTATTAGGTATAAATTCGTCGTCAATATACTTCAATAATCTTAGTTAGGTCTCTTTAAAGTTGGTATTTATAAACCGCTTAGCGTTAATAAAAATAATCGAATTACTATTAAATATTATATATTACTAGTAAGTAAAGAAGGTAATCCTCGTCTATATTATTTAGGTAGGTAGGGAGCCTATTTGAACCTTGGTTCTGGCGGTGGTACGTACCTTCTAGTACTCTTATTAAAGCTTCTCGAGATTAGAATTGTTATTAGAATTGTTACTTTGCTAAGGTTAGGCAGACTAGGGGGGTTGGGGGGAAGGAGATTATAAGGGAGATTATAAGGGAGATTAAGGGGGAGATTGGAGGGGAGACTGTGAGCTACGTATACTTTAGCGGGCACCCCTCCCTCTACTTCTCTCTCTACTTCTACCGCGTTGGGAACCGCGCCCTTAATAATTACCTATTAGGATACTAAAGAACTACCGCCTCGAGCACCGGGAACTAGCCAATATAGGCACGGAAGGAGACTCGGGACTACTAGGAATAGAATACTATAATGCTATAATACTAATACTTTCTATAATTTTACTAGATTTTTGCTTAAAAGTATTAGGACGACCGATGCTTCCTCTCGCTTTACTAACTTCGAATTTGGGAGTATTAAAATATTCAATAAAATAGGGTTATAAGGGGGACGCTCCAACGCCGTATTGTAGTAGTACACTAATTAGGAACTCTATAATTACTAATTATATTAGAATAAAATTTATACGAATATAAAAGTAATCCAAACGGGCATCTTTTATTATAATCGGTAACTATTAATATATTTTTAAATTAACCCCTAATTTAATATCCTCTACGTATAACTACAACTATAATTACCTCAACCTACCTTTCCCTTACGTTCTAATAAATTAATAATTCCTCCTCCAGGAATTAAACCAATACCGTTACAATACATACACATAGTAGTTAATCTATTTCCCGAACCGCCGAAGCAATCCTTCGCCCCTTTTATACTACTACTCTTTTAATTATTATTATTAAAGTCGTATAATTTCCTCCGCCCTTATTATAATAGCATTAGTTTACTATAAAATTTATTAAAGAAAATAATAATAAAGATTATCCTTTTATATTACTTTAAACTCCCTGTTAATACCCCTAACCTACCGAAGTTAATAAATTCGTATATAAATAATAATTACTCGAATTTCAATTCGCTATTATTAAACTCCTCTTAAATTACTTCCTATTATAAATATTTTAGTAGGATTAGCTCGCCTTCGTAAGCCTTTCTAAATAAAATATTATTAGTAACTACCCCCCTATCCCCGCCGGTTCCTATTACTAAAACTACTTCTTTTATAACTAAACCTATATTTCTATTATACCTTCCCCTATTACCCTCTCTCTTATGATTATTACTATAGCTATTCTCTTATTACTTATAATTCTACCCGCCTGTACTAAATATTATCCTAAGTATAATATTATTAAATTTACAGGCGAGAATTTATTTTAATTCTAAAACTACCTTTATAATATTAATATATACTTTTATAAATATCCCTATACTTTACTTTTATTCGCTATTAATTATATTGAAGGTAACCCTAAGGATACTTAAATTAAATATATATTAGCCTTTTAAAATAAGTTTAATTATAATACTATTCGCAATATACTAATATAAAATAATCTTTGTACTTTCTTAGAAATAGAGTATAATAGTAATATTCAAACTATTAAACGGTCCGCTCTTAATAAATTTGAATATATATAGTAAAACGCCTCCGAAATAATCTATAATTTCTATAACCGTTACTATACTAAAGAATTTAACCTCTCCTACAAATAGCCGGAGTATATTCGGGTTATTATATAAATTAATTAATTATATCCCTTATTTAAATAAAGTATTCTTTTAACGGCTAGTATTAATATAATAAATAAAATAATAGTGTATATAGAACGGCTAAAGGGCTTAAAAACTATTGAGCCGTCTATATTATATTATTAAAATTAAGTATTTTTAGGGTATATTTAACTATTTTCTTCATTTTAATCTACCCTTACCTCCTTATTAAATACTTTCCCTCCTTCGTCCTATAATATTAATCCCCCCAATTTATCCTATTATCCCCTCCCAACTTTTCTAATAAACTCTAATCTTATTTACCCCCTCTATAATTAAAAGGATTATATGTATAATTATTATACTTAATTAAAATTGCCGAATACCTATTATAAATATAATATAATTGGTTATTTTATATTAATATACTAGAATTAAATTTACTTTAATTATAACGAAACTAATTATTAGTAATAGAATTATCCTATTCCCGTAGGCGCTTTATTGTATAATATAAATACTATACTAATTATAGTTAAAGTAGTAGCCGTACCCGCTTAGGATAATATAGGTAAATTATAATTATATTTAGAAATAATATTATTAATAAGGATTTATAGAGATTGGTAGAGTATTTGAGGGTTAATAAATTCGGGTACGGAATTGAATTTAATTAATAAGTATTTACTCCTATCAAATACAAAAATTAATCTTATACCCTATTGTCTCATTAACTTCTCCCTTCAATCTATTCCTATATATAGTACAATTACCTATTTTATTAAAATATATAACTCTTATAGTACTAAGTAACTAAAATAAATTATATTTACTATTATTAAATCTCTAGCTATAGAAATTATTTTCGGCTACCCCTAATTTTAAAAGTAGAACCTAAATATTAATTAATAGTAGTAGACGTTCTAATTTTATATTAAAACTAGCAACTTAAAATTAAATATAACGCTAG